TCTTTACAAATCCATCAGCTATCTTAACATGAAATTGGGTTTGAGCACAGAATCTTCGCTTAGGAACGATAATGGTTTCATGAATACATGCCCAAATTCCAATTTCCTGGTACATATTTTTCACGACTTTCATTTTCTTTGGTTAATTTTGGATGTATTGTCTTTTGTTAATAAAATCACTTTTCATTTCATTTCAGTTTTTAAGAATATTATTCATACATGTTCAAATTAAATCTTATATCAAATTGCTTTGAAAAAAATAATGTCCAAGAAATTTTACTACAGTGTATATACAGTGTATACATTATAAATACTTATTGAAGAAATGTTGTGAAGTGCATATTTAAGGAAACAGTGGGGCTCTGGCGAAGATACAACTGGTGAAATACGTTTGACATATAAGCTATTCCATTAACTATGTGTTATTAACATATGTTTAATCGAGTTAAAGTTAATAGCATACATTAAGCTGCACTTAACTTAACCGTGCACTATTGCAGAATATTAAATATTAGTTTTATAATTAACTTTCATAAATGTGAATTTTTTCTCCAAAAATCTTGTAAAAGGAATATGCAATATCTGCATAAAACATGAATCGTTTTTACTTACTTTCTACCTTTATTATTCATTGCATATTTTGACGTTAATATTTATGTACACTTTATAAAAGATCTAGCTGCCCCCACGTAATCCCACCCCCCAACCCCATAGATACCCTAGCTGCCCACCACTCCATCCCCATCCCCCCCACACCCACACCCACAGATGTACTAGCTGCCCCAGCGCCATCCCACACACCCCGTCCCCATAGATGCCCTAGATGCCCACACCCCATCCCCACCCCATCCCCCAACCCCTTCCCAACCCCTACCCCTACATATGCCGTAGCTTCTACCACCCCCACTAATCTCTGTTTGGGTTTTCCCTGATTTTTATTGTTTTTTTATTTGTCCCGGCAAACGTTGCGACATGTTCATACATGCAATGTTTTTTGTTTGAATAAAACGTTACTATGATAATAGCTATTTCGATTGACATAATGTTTATAACACAGGTTAATTGGTTGATTACATATACGGCAAAGGGACATTCACGGTGATAAAACAATTACCAGATGTACGCGCAGGTAAGTCAAACTGCCCGGTGGACTGAGCTAGATTTGACGATACAACATAAAAATTAGGGTCCTTTAAGAACACGTCTACAAGGCGATCAGCTCCTCGTAGCACCTGAAATAAACACAGGAAGAGGAATATCTTCTTAAGTAGCTCGAACAAAAATGTGATAAACATTTATTTCAGGAAAGAACAATATAACGCGTCTCTGGATATGCCGTGAATAAAACTGAGTGCACTGAATTACATGAGCTTCTTTGCCGAATGATGCAAAATGCACAAAAGTGTATAGTTAAATTATTAAGTTATCTTTTACAGCTTTGATATTCAAAGTCTATGATTGATGAATTTTAGAAATAATTAATGAGCAGGAATTTGATATTGTCTTTTTTAACTGTTAAGAAACGAGTATGTAAAAAAATAGCCAATCGGTTTTGTTTTAGAGGGTAATTCGTCAAAGACAGGGATTTGAATCCAGGACTACAGATGGTACTATTGGTATATAGGATAAACACAAAAAAGCACAGTGCTGTAAAACAGGGATCCTTAAAGATTATTGGTACAAGCAAGCTAGATATATGTAACAGAAAAGGGGAAAAAGAAACGGCCAGAATGGGAATCCAAAATATAGACGAACGGTTAAATTAATATCACTACCTGTCGTGAATAAGAAAAGCAAATAAATCTACAAAATTTTGCGTAAAAATAAATATCAGGTATATTAGTTCTTAACAAAAACAACAATGAAAAATCGATGTGAACAAATGGTTCAAAACACTTCACTTCAATTAGGACTAGTATTATGGCGACACGTGCTAGGCATGAAACACAATAAGAATTTTACACCTGTGTGACGGTTTATTCAAAATCGATAAGTCTGACTACAGCTGCCACACCAAGTTAACAACATACATGTCTATTTCATTCTGACAAAACGGTCATCGATCAAATATATTACCAATAATACGTGAATAGTCAATAGATACATATTTTAGAGATTTCAGACCTGATAAAAGAACTGTTTACAAATGCAACAGTTCTACTTCTTAAATTTATATAGAGGTTGTCATTTCAAACAATTACGTATGTCCTTATTGCTATGTCTTAGCAACAAAATGTGATGAATATAAAAGAAAAACAAAATACTGCCGGAATTTTAACCCCTTCACCCCTAGATTACTTTAATGGCTCTTTCATACATTTATACGGGTGAGTACATTATTGTATACAGTGGTAATAGGGTTGATGAATACCAAATTTTGGAAGTACGTCTATCAAATGAACAGCATAGTTGTGGAGATGTTTTTCAATGAAAAGTAAAATATTTGAGATACTCTAATGAACAAGCAAATTAACCAAATAGCAATATTGAAGCCAATATTCAAATAATTTTATGAATATTGTTATTACTGAATCAAATTAATGGTTCAAATTATCGTTCAAAGTATTTAACACATAGAGGTTTCTCAACAAGTGATGGTTGCATTGGTTATCATGTTTATCTAACTCGAAATAATTTATTTAGAAGTTGTATAAAGACAAGGTGTTTTACTAAAGTCTTTTACTTTTTGAAAATAAACTAATGAGAGTTAGATAAACATGATACCAACCATCACGAGTGTGTGGACCTATGACGTCAAAACGTTCAACATTACATCTATAAACCCATCTTTAATGTTTCTCTATGATTTTGATCAGGGAAATAGTTGCCATGGAAACAAAACAATGGAAGATAACGTCGCAAAGCATTGGAACGTTGCGTCATACTTAGACGATTGGCCAATGAAAATATGTGCAGGGTTTTACCTACTAATTGGTTAGCAAAATGTGTACAAAATCCTAGCAGATTTTTTCAATGACTGGGGATTGAGGAAAACCTATAGTTGTTGTGGGAGAAAAGAGTTTTAACGCATCAACCAATATTACAAGCGGGATAAAGAAGTAAGAGTAGAAAATAATATTACAAAATCTTCAATACATATGGACAAAAAGGTGATATGAATCAACAACAACAAGTATTCGAAAAGGAAATAAAAGCTAACGTAAAGAAGATAGAATTAACCCACATCATTTATCATAACAGATACCCGTCATTTTATCCCCTGACAAAAGTATGTTTGTAACTATTTAACAGACTGTAATTGGAGTTCATGAACAGTAAGACACCCCCAATGTGCCCTACTGAAACAAATAATAAGACAATAAGAGCGCGTTAAATGTATACACTTTGTAATAATATCATCGACAACGTGATGGGAAAAAACACTATAGATAACTTACCCTTACAACAAGATGGTAGGGGCGACATGGGAATCGGTTTCCCATTATAAATAGCTTACCTTAAGAGACATTGATGACACTACTATCGGGCAGTATGTCGCCCTATTTTTTAATAACTTTGGATCTTTATGTTATATTTATAGATTCTCACACTGCGTTTTCAGGGTTTGTCATGAGAACATCGCGCCTTCGTGGAAACAATCTTGTGACCACCGTAAACCCTTAAACCATTGTGTGATAAACTCTTTATCATCTGTAAATACCAATACATTATACATTTATCCATTCATAAACAGTCAACTAAATTACCTATCTTCTAGCTACCTTCTAGGCTTAATGATCATGGGCATCCTCGGTCTGTGACGTATTATCCATATCCACATTTACGCCTAAAATGTTGTTGTTATCCTGACAGCATTTTTATCATAATTTTACAATTATTTGTTGTTGACGTACGATTTTCTTACGCGGAACATCTTTGTGTGGGTACTATTTTCGGTTCAGGACGTCACCTAGAACGAGTAGGCGTCCTTTGTAGAGGAAATACATTCCGAAATTCCGAAATTGGAAAACATACTATCAAGTTGTTCTCAAGTCGTTCGAAACCTCGTACAATATTCTCATACTGACAACACGTGATAACGAATTTATCAGGCTACCGGTAGGTGGCATATTGTAGTGTATATATATGATATGATGTTATCTGTCTAGACAATTATCATTATTAATTACATAATCATTATATATAGGGAAGTCATAAACTTGAAACAGTATTATACGTAGAGACTTAAAGATGTATGCTGCTTTACTGTGACTTTTATTTTCTATCCCAAAAAGTTCGTTCCATATTTAGACATGTAAAAATAGATCAGGTAACGTACTTAGGTGATGACCCGTGAAAGGTATGTTAGAATAGTTTAATACATGATAAATTATCAAATAAGGTTTTAAATAAAAAGACGTTTTAATTCAAATTACTGTGATTGAGCTCAAGTGTATGTACTGTGTTAAGTTCTGGATACCTTTAATCCTATTCAAACTTTATCATGTAGACTTATGAAGCCACACACTGTTAACAGTATAAAGATTTAACCGTCAACACCTGACGCAGTGTTCGAGAAACACTGACAGACGGAATATATACCTAACAACATAATCACGCCAATGACGTCATTAGAACCACCACGTTGAGTCACCAACATGCGTATCTCTGGTGTTATCATGAAAGTCGCAACACAGTGGAAATCGCGTATGGCTGTGTGATTATAGATAAGACCTTGCTATTTGTAAACACGTAGTTCAAGCAAGCGTACATAAGTAGTTGCTGGTCGGTCAAGTAATTCATATTTACTCTTCAACGTTATTACTCTAATATTTATTCCATATCATGTTAACCATACTTATCATTCTGTTTCACAATGAATATTGCAGAAAAAAAACATATAATACATTTTATAATGTTTCATTCATCGTTGACAGGGATTTATTATCTAAATGAACGTATACAAGATCATGACTGAATGAGCAATCATTGAAATATTGATAGCAATTTAAAACAATATGTAATATAGTTTTCAATCATGTAATAATGTATATGCCAACCTCGAAAGACATGTGTAGGTTGGCTCCCTCCGCAACTTTTTGGTGGAAGCATTCCTCTCTGCCTGCCTGTACCTCGATTTTAAATTCATGCTGCACACCAGGTAAGCCATCAAAATCGAAATCATCATACTCCGCACCCGACACAATTGTACACGAGTACAGGCACGTGCACAAAAACAATAATGCGAGTACTCGTGGGATGTGTATGGCCGCCATGTTAAATGTATGCGAGTACCGGTTAACGTTTAACTCATGTCAGGGGCTTATCGTAAGTCTTACACCACATGGCCCTGTTGTCATTTTCACACAGTCTTCAACCAAAGATAATCAATAATGTACACGTGAAGTCACTACACAGGCACACCTGTCTTTAAAGACACACCTGTTTAAATAAGTCTCCAGTATATATTTGTATAAAGCTCACCTGTCCAATGAAATACACATCAGGTACAATGGTAGGATGCTATATTCATACTTAATTGACATAAAAAAAAATATTTAGGTATGTTTATAATTATTCCCACCCTCACTCATTCAGCTCACCGAATAACAAATTTCCATATGTGTATTTCCTTTAAAGCACACGTCTTTGAAGACTTAATAAAGCTCTCTCTCTCTCTCTCTCTCTCTCTCTCTCTCTCTCTCTCTCTCTCTCTCTCTTGATTTAGGGGATATCTCATAAATAACAGACAGAAGTCATTTACTCATATTACTATGAAATATTTCTATTACATTAAAAAACATTTCTGTTATTTTTTATAGACATCTCTCTTGGATTGCTAGTTAATCCGATTTTCTCTTTAAAGATATCTGTATTGATTTTCCCCTTACTATTTTAACCTTTTATATATTTTTAATTGATGAGTATTAAATGTTAAGTAAGCCTGCCATAGTTGACATATCGTTTGGTATTCCCTTGTGCAGTATAGCAGACGGACGTGTCTTTCTGTATTCGTAATAATGAACCTAACGAGAATCCAAAACATAAAAGATTGTTCTATTTTTTTCGGAAAATATTTCAGTTTATTCGACAAAGAAAATAGTAATAACAAATCGTTTTGATGCAGAAAAAAACACAATACAAAGCTCAGTTGGAAAAAAAGAACTAAGAGACATTACATTTTCTGTTTTTCTGTTTTTCTGTTCAAAAGTATTTAGCGTGGCTTATATAATTGATCAATACACCACTGTCAATTTCCGTTGAATTCTTATTGTGCCATCGTCATATAAAATACTTGGGAAATCCTTCGTTTTCGTTGTATGCTTGTAAGTGTTGGCTACCTGAAATGAATAAAACTAATATTTATATTGTATTTGATGCTACATATACCTATTAAAATAGTACTTGTTGAAGTGGGGGTTGTCTATCTAAGATATCTATTACGTCGGAACAACACCTTAAAAATCATACGTAGATGCAATTTGAAGTGTTGCAGTTTGTTTGGATTTTTGTTTTTGTTCATTGTTTTTTGTGTGAATCTAATTTTCGCGATATTCGTGGAAACAGCTTTCTTCTTGAAAAAGAAATCGGAATAAAATAAGAAGAAACCTTTTCAGTTCATCAAGTTTATCACAGTATCAAGATATCTTATATATGATAAGAATGTTAAGATTATATTTTGAAGTCTTGATATTACTTATTTTCAAAACGTAACAGTATTTTTTATCCCAAAACAAAACGTAACAGTATTTTTTATCCCAAAAAAGCACGGATGAGAGTTTCGTTCGAGAACCGTACTAACAAATCACACTGATTCTTGGTATGGTAATGATCACAAATACATTATACATTTTTTTTAATTTATCAAAAAACTGATACCAAAGGTTTCCCCATTTAAACTGTACCGCAAAAATTAGGATCCCGCAAAATAAAGACCATTTCAAATATTGAATGTGAAAGATATTCCCAAACAAACATACCCTGAAAATGATCAATCGTTTCAACTTCTGATTCAGCTCTGGTATACATATAGTTCTTCCATAGCCTATTCCAATACTTTCCTCAATATAAACGCTGACGAATTGTTGTGACCTTTCTCTAAAGTTCTGAAAGAGAAACAAAATAGGATACGTATGTATAAATATACCATCTACAAAATTCTAAAACAAAACAACATGGAAGAACATAAGCGTTTATTTATCATACATTCTTTTTTTGATCGGTAGTGTCTGTCTGACTAGGGAAGTTGTGATCGGTAGTGTCTGTCTGACTAGGGAAGTTGTGATCGGTAGTGTCTGTCTGGCTAGGGAAGTTGTGATCGGTAGTGTCTTTCTGACTAGGGAAGTTGTGATCGGTAGTGTCTACCTGACTAGGGAAGTTGTGATCGGTAGTGTCTGCCTGACTAGGGAAGTTGTGATCGGTAGTGTCTGTCTGGCTAGGGAAGTTGGGATCGGTAGTGTCTTTCTGACTAGGGAAGTTGTGATCGGTAGTGTCTGCCTGACAAGGGAAGTTGTGATCGGTAGTGTCTGCCCGACTAGGGAAGTTGTGATCGGTAGTGTCTGCCTGACTAGGAAAGTTGATATTTAAGGAGACGTATGGTCTAAGAAAACGAAGGCTTAGGAACCTTGATTGATAAGTAAACCTTAGATGATGTACCATCTCAAATAATCTGTGGTCTAATGAATGCGTTAGATATGTTATAAACATTGCAAATGAAAAATAAATACAATTATGTTTATAACATTTCTAACTTTTTTAACAACACTTAATATTATGATGCACTTTAAGACACTTTACATGAAGTTTATTTATTCATTACGGTCTTGAAGCCCATGGTTTTAAATATAATCGATAAAATGTATTACCCGGACATTAACTATGATTGTGTACATTCCCCATCCCACAACAATACTGATAGAAAATTATCAATTTAATATTTCAATAATATTTTTTTAATGTTTATTCCATTTTCTTATTGAGATCTTAAAACATGACTTAGACTTAGAGGTTGGAAATGTATTTGACTTAATCATCTTTCCATAAACGGGGGTTGTTGAATAGCAAAGGGATGTTAGTTATGCATAAAAAAAACTACAGAGGAATTCTTGAAAGTTTTGACTGTAATGGGACAAGGATCCTTAAAAAATAATGATACACAAGTGCAGGCGCGTATGGTTAGACTGTAAACATTGTTCCTGGTAAATTATTATCTAGCCATCCCAGAGGCAGGGGTTCGGCCCCTTCCCTCCCCATAAAAAAATAAAATATAGAAGATCTGCGGTGATATCTGATAGTTTATAAGAGCAAAATTTGAGTGTTTGATATATTCAATATAAGGTTTATTTTTCTTTTTGGGTGCAGATATTTTAAACAGAAGATAAGTTGAGTTGTTATTGCAATTACAGAAAACAATTTTGGTATAAATTTATCAAAAATGAAATCGGCACCGAGTACGCTAGATTTCAAACACGCAATAGTTATGAAAAACTATAGCTTATTTTGATGGACCAAAAACAAATTGATATTTTTTCGAATCGTATAGTCTATTTCGGACCATAAATAATAAATACAAATAAATAGTACATTTGAGGATTTTCGATGTGCATATAACTGCTTATATGCTTACAACTACACGCCTTACAAATACAGGTAAGAACCAAAAACAAATTAAATTCCACTAAAATTACCTTAAACGAAGATAGCGGCATATCGTGTTCATCATAATAGGTATCGTCCGAAGGGAGATAACTCCAACCTGTCAACGTCACACGATGTCCCCAGTCGGAACAATTATATATAGCATTCATTACTAGAGGGGTGAATGAAATCCTTGCTGTAAAATAAGATTAAGCTAATGTATAAATGGTACAATTTTCAACGATCTGCATGGAAATATATTAATCCATACATAGTAACCTGTTTCTATTCGCCAACCTTCAAGTGAAAACTTCTTAAATAGACAACGTTATTTTTAGAAGAAAAAAAATTCAAATTCATTATATAAAACAGACCCTATTATTTATCATGTCATGTATAAATATTAAATAACTCCTACAAACGAAGATGCAACAAAAACTATTTCATTTAAATCGACGTAGACCATTTATTTTGGAAAATATAACCCTTTGCTATTTTTACTGGACATTTTATATCTTTTACAACATTGAGCCAATATTTATACTTGAGAATTGTACATGTATCCCGTTATATCATGCTCAAGCATTAAAATAGCAACGTCAGATAATGTAACCTTAGCAACTGCGGCCTTGACCTTTGACCCAGAATGTGTTGTTGTATCAAGATAAGGTTAAGTATAAGGTAAAATGAAAATAAACATTCTCAATGCACAAGGACATACGTTAATTTTCCCCCGACAAAAAAAAAGACAGCAAGTCTTGTAAAACGCAAAAACAAATGAAGGCATTACAAACCCCTTGACACCAACTGGCGATAAAATCCAATACTCCGGAGGGAAAGAATTGTATGATATTTTGAAGCACCAGGTATATGTTTTTTCGATTAATATATTGGTTAACTCCTTAAATCGTAGTTTATGTTCATTGCTGAGAAATTATTGGTTGGTATTTTGCCATCTCTTTTTTTTATATTGATAAGTTATAAAAAAAAAAGTGTACACATGATTTCTTTGTCGTACAGTAGTATAACGAAACATTATTATTTTCCATTGACAAACATCCTTAATAGCAACAAAGAATCATCCTGCAAAGCAAATGGAGATAGGGGGATACGAAAAAGCAAAAGCACAATCATCTCTAACCTTAAAACGTTTTATTTTTCTTTCTTTGTAAGCACTCACAGTTTACCTCTTTACCTCCTTTAGTGATACTGCCACCATTTGTCCCAACAAACTTTATGTTATAAAGGGGTTCGATGATAAATTGAGGGAAACGTTTCAGGGATTTCTTAAAAATACGAGAAAAGGGAACATTGAAATATGTAAAAGGGGTGGCAAATAAAACGAGGGGTATTATTTCAAGGTTTTACCTATATATTATGAGGGTTTTACCTATAAGTTATGAAGGTTTTACCTATATATTATGACGGTTTTACCTATAAGTTATGACGGTTTTACCTATATATTATGACGGTTTTACCTATATATTATGAGGGCATTACTGTATATATTATGACGGTTTTACCTATATATTATGACGGTTTTACCTATAAGTTATGAAGGTTTTACCTATATATTATGACGGTTTTACCTATAAGTTATGACGGTTTTACCTATATATTATGACGGTTTTACCTATATATTATGAGGGCATTACTGTATATATTATGACGGTTTTACTGTATAAATTATGAAGGTTTTACCTATAAGTTATGAAGGTTTTACCTATATATTATGACGGTTTTACCTATAAGTTATGACGATTTTAACTATATATTATGACGGTTTTACCTATATATTATGAAGGCATTACTGTATATATTATGACGGTTTTACTGTATATATTATGAAGGTTTTACTGTATAAATTATGAAAACTTCAGAATACATGGAACAAACATTTCATTTTACTGAACTGGATATATAACTTTGTGACAGGTATGTATCATAACTTAGATACACTGAACTCGCAATTGCCATGCGTGTCAACTATCCTCACAGGTAAATTGCATTTATGGTTATATTTCAGAGAGATAATCTGCTGTTTACAGTCATCGTAAACCTGTTTTTCAGTTTTTTATTATATTTCTTTTTTATTCAAATACATTACAGGATATGTGTTTTTTAAGAGTGCTATATTAGTTAACAAAATCCCGATAATGTTACAGATACACATTCACAAACTTAATATCCTGACCGAAACAACAATGGGTAAATTCCTTTCATTAAGACCAAAATGCCCGGGATAGAGTTTTTGTGTTAGGGATTTATTTTCTTAGAGGAAGTTATAACATTTTATTTTATTTCGTATACATCTATTTGTAATCATTATGCTAAATTAATAAACGACGCAAGGGTGAAAAAATGATAAAATACAGATCACTTGGATTCTCTATCTTAAGGATCTTCCCTTTCCAAAAGATGTAACTATGTATTGTAAACTGTGTTTTTTTCCCAGCAAGACAACAGCTTAGATAAACCATTTATGAAAAGAAACGCATACCTTGTGGGACTTAAGAAAACATCATACATGTGAAGGTGAAATTCACAAAACATTATCAACAATAGTGTTCTGAGTGTAAAAACACCAGTGGATACTATACCGGGATTCGACTCCTGTGCCCAGTTGTACAAAGGGTGATTAGCTTAATCAGTGATTAGCGCAAATATTAATTAATTTTCATGTATGTTTGAAACAGAACCATTGAATTAGTTACAACTTTCCAGATATCAAATATTTAATAGTGAAAATAAAAAAAACAAAATTGTGAGATTTTACCTTGCATATTGACGGAAATATCAAAGGCTGAAAATGTCGCTTAACTGATATTAAGCTAACCACCTTTTGAACAACTGGGCCCCAAGACTCAAATTGTTATCCTGTCGCTCTAACCGACCGAGCTACCTGGTCAATGGAACTGTCCTGATCAAACTGTGCTACAGTTACGTCAAAAGGGGAGGTAACTGTAGATACGAATCCTTAAAAAGGAACATGTCATTAAATATAATACGAAAATCGTTCTCACGCAAAAGCTGTTATACTGCTGATATTTTTTTAAGAATGCTTGCACGTTCGGTAATCCAATATTACAAGTACGTGACATCAATGAGTCTGAAGTTACTGCATATCTAACAGAGCAAGACAAATTATGTTCAGTAGGGATCAGGTAACAGTTAATTGACGGGAGTAGAATATTTAATCTCATTCCGCAAACTTAACCTTTGTTAAGGATCGCTGTCATTTAATATCTCTCTCTGGAATAGATCGAGAGGGAAAAGACAAGAGAAGAAAAAAAGGAAAGGAATTGAAACCTACGACGCCTTATATTAAATTCAATTTCGATTAAAACATGTCCATGCACCCCTGAGCTTGTAATTTTGGTTAATAAGTGCAGTTTTAGCAATCACCATTAAACCTACCATTTTCGCACTCCATCACGAGAATTCGATCACTCTGCACAAACGCGTTCTGTAAAGAAATGATTATTAAATTATGTGATAACAGACACATCATTAAATGAATGTTTAACAACATAAACTCAATCCTCTATCAGAACCTTGACATTATTTGTATAGGATATCCAAATGAATAAAATTTCATAAGCAAATAAATGATTTTGTTTTCTCCCACCCTTCACAGGTGTGTCTCCCGTTTCGGCCGAGAAAGTTCAGGTTGTAATCCTCTATGGGAGATAACCTTGTGCCGATTAGCACGTGTTCATTTGTGACGTCTTTAAAATGTGTCACCGGTAATTGTGACGTCATCAAAAGTGAATGACTATATTTACCCCACATGTGTTTTTGTTTACAAACTGACTACTTTCAGTGGAGTTGTGACTGAAATAATAGGAAGGGAGAAAAACAATTATCCCCTACTTTGAGGGTGTAACAGAGAAATCTCTAACCCTCGGGGTGATCATTTTGGTTGTCTAACCCGAGGCTCTGCCGAGGGTAAGACAACCAAACGGGTTGGAGATTTCTCTGTCACACCCTCAAGGTAGGGGAAGATTCTATTAATCAGCAAATTGTTGTTTGGTATATATATTTCTGTAAAGATACCGCTAACCTTACCAATACAATACCGATGATAGCGATCGTATTTCATTTTGTTTTTGCTTTTTTAGGGTGTAACATCCTAGCAAATATCTTAGGTAATATTTTATACTGGTGTGTTGACGCTAAGGTATGTGCTCTTGTGCACTGATGCCGTGGTATATGTTTGCCCTTGTGCACTGATGCCGTGGTATAATTTGTTCTTGTGCACTTGTGCACTGATGCCGTGGTATATATTCGCCATTGTGCACTGATGCCATGGTATATATTTGCTCTTGTGCACTGATGCCGTGGTATATATTTGCTCTTGTGCACTGATGCCGTGGTATATATTTGCCTAGGGTTCGACAAACAAGCGTATTATAAGGTCGTTATGAGTCTGGTGTGTTTATGCAATATGTTTTGTGCTGACGATGTGAAATAGTTTGTTATTGAGTGTTGGACGCCAATGTTGGCTCGTTACAGAGTGAAAACAAAAAGCACATATCTGATGTTTGTTTCTGTCTGTAAATTTATTTTTACTTGATAACTTGATAATTGAGGTTGAGTTAATTTGTCCTAAGAAATACATAACCAAGTTAGGCTATTAAACTAAACCAAAACTGACTTGGAGATAATAAAAACTATATTACATGTACTAAGAATACGAATCAGCTGCGCAAACATTCATAAAATCAGTTAACTAGTCAATTTACTAGAAGGATTTGTACAGTATAACTAATTATCTTTCTTACTGTTCATGGTGGGGAAAAGGGTTATTTCGAAAATCTATTCATGGTGGGAAAAGGATATTTTGGAAACCTACTGATTCACATTTCGTAAATGTTGAATCATGTTGTTATTCGGTATTGTTTACCTTTCCATTATACGTTACAGCCACCCAGAATCGTCGCTGTTGATTGTTCATTTCCAAACACTGGCCGGGGTCAAGAAAGTCGCCTGCTGTGGTGTTATCACCGTCATCATCATTAACAATGAACACATGTGCTCTAACCTTTGCACATGCGCATTTTAATCCATCGATTTTTAATAAACACAATTCAATTGACAGAAGAATTAAAAACCACAAAGGCATCTGCAAATGTAAAAGTTAATAAATAAATAGAAATCGATATCAGACCATTTGACATAACAATGATGATATTTGCATATTTTTCCCTTTTGTACGACTTTTATATTGTAAAAGATACCTTAAAATCAATCGATTCTTTTTTAATTCATTTCACTTCAAAACTATTTTATTGTTTCGGTTAACAATTGAATAAGGCACAGGCACTGCCTATAAAAGTCCTTTCCATATTATAAAATTACAAACATTTCGAACAATTATAGTATGTAAATGGAAGATTAAAATATTAAGTTTATGTTAATAGGGTAGGCCGAACCAATAAGCCAGTAATCACTTTTAAATTCATGATGTTAATTGTCCATTATATTGTCCATTGTCCCCTACAACCACGTGTCCATTACAATGTCAAATATCAAATACAATGTGAAATGTCCATTACAATGTCAAATATCAAATACAATGTCAACTGTGAACAACAATGTGAATTGTTTACTTTCATGTCAATCCAATTGTCCAGTACAATTTCAGTTGTTAACTACAGAACTATGTTAATTGTCCACTACGATGCCAATTGCCCATTACAATGTTAATGGTTCAATACAATGTAAGTTGTCTATTTCTAACAATAGCAATGAGTTACTAAAAAGCGATTATTTATATATCGAAAATGATCATCACAATAATTACCTTTGTGATTTGTGAAATGTTTTTGAGTAAGTTCGTGTCTTTACCGTATCAAATGTATTATATGTATAACAGTGTCTCGCTGTACACACTTGACAATTATAAGACCCATATAATGAAATAAAACCTTAATTAAACAAGTATAATTATTGAAGTACAACTGAGAATACCTGATGACCTGTCTCGGCTACCATCCATACATACTAGTGTAAACACGCTTCCTTCTCTCCTACACTCTGTGTGCTATCTTCTATGGAAATGTGACATTAATACTGAGCGTTTCACGACATAGTGACAGGCTTGAGGAAACACGTTTCATTCTTCCTTCTCACATCTACTGGCACTTGTTAAAAGCTGGATCAGCCTGGCATTTCATCTGAGTGGGTCGTCTTGTTATGGTTATGTTACATACCGCTATAGATATAGGTCGATTATCGTCTTTGTTGAAAATCGAAATATTCTATTTGGTAACTACGGTGAAACCTGTTTTATATTGCCATCATTTGCCCTGTAAAATCTTGGCGTGATCACGGACTTAGATAACAGGGATTGGCATCTCCAATTTCATTTCGTATGTATTGTCCACCTCTTGTATGTGTGCACCGAACCGTGACGGCCTGTGACCCTCTCGCTGGAGTCACTTTACCTGTACTGCGCTTGCGTGCAGGCCGGTTTCGGGTATCGATAACAACGTTGTTTACCTAGGTGACGACAGACCGATAGTGTGACACTGATTTGACAGATTAATAACACAGTGCAATCATCGTGGCTAAAACTTTAGAAAACCTATGCATACACGTGATGATGTCGCAAGCTTATCTGTTTATGTCAAGCAGCATCAGGTAGAATCTGATCGGATGATACATCATTGTCAAATATGACGGACTTTTTATCCCGTGATAGTTATTTAGATTTAGACTTTTTAATGACAGAATTTACTGATAATGAATGTAAAACTTAATATTTCGGAGGTGATAAAAGACGTCTCTGGGTATAGGCAGCTATATTTCGAGGGCATACTCAGCACGGTAGAAGCACAGGGGTTCGTTACAAATGTCTTATACACATGTACATGTGCTATACTGATATAGGTCACAGCACATGTATGTTTATGTGGACTGTGACCTATATCAATATGGCAAAACGTTATGTGTATTTTGTAACGAAACCCCTGTGGGAGAAGTGACTTAAAGGGTTAACTTTGAACAATAACTTTGTCCTATTACATCATTTTAAAGTTAAACCATTTATAAGAAAAATACAGAAACATCAGCTGACCTTTTACCTTTGTATGTTATTCTCGAAATTTTGAGATAGGTTATTTAATATATGTACCTAAAAAATAGAACACTTTAATAATTTTATATTTCTAGGCAACAATCAAAGGCATTTTTCAAAGCTGAATTCCATCTTGGCTCAACGTTCATGTATATCCTTTGTCGTCATTAAAATTGTTTATACAGAAATATATTCTTTATTTCTGTGACATGATTTCAGCTAAATCTGATAACATCACAGCAAGTAACATTACAGCCCGGAGCTAATTCTAATAAATTCATTGAATTAAATGTCAATCATGAGCAAGTATATGTATATCATAAACATATTTTGGTGCAACTTATTCGCAATTACTCCACATGGTGCATTTTCCCAGCTCCTTTTTTTCTTTATGTATTCTGCGTTAAAAAATGTGACATGAACTTCTGTCCCAGCACTATGACTTAGGCTTAAAATAAAAACGTTTATCTAAAACAGACTTTCCCAAAAATGGACAAAATAGTTCATTGAAATTTTGAATTTCATTTGATCATGTTTCAATTCAGCATTTTGTCAATATTTAATGACCATTGAGAAATGATTGACTCCATTATTTAATGTCTTTGCTGTAACCAAAATATTACACATTGTAGTATCATTTTTCTGGTTCCAGAAACTTTATAGCATGTCCAAGGTATTCAAATAATTAGTCACCAGTATGATTTAAATTTGAATTCCATCTTTTTCAGCTAACCAAAATGAAACTTGCTGTTCCAGGGACAGCTCCAGCACCAGTAGCTCAGATATGTTGTTCTACAGGTACCAAGCCCACTCGTTAAAGCTATTATGTTTTCAGCAACAATTTTCACCATCACTTAAATCATCAATATGTTCCTAAAAGATTGATGATATTCAACTTCTTTGAAAGAAGTGCTTAAGCTTTTTGCGACTTTACTCCAAAGAACACTTGTTTGGTAACTTCTTATTATTGTGTTTTTCAAGACATTTTTTCTTTTAACTGATTTAGATGTGTCAGCTGTGTTAGAAAGAGAACAATTATTAAAGAAGCTATATCCAGTTCGAATAAGTCCTGAGCTTAAAACACAGTATACACTTGTATACACTTGTATACAGATTAAAGGTTGCGGTTCACATATATGCAATTGATTATTGTCTTTCAAAATTGATGTGTTGTCAGGTTTGTTACTCAATAGTATCATTACTATTTATGTGAGAAAGTTGGAACATGTTTCATATAAATCACACTTAGACAGAACCAAGAGCCTGCAACATATGCTTTGGCTGTAGGTTAACAAAATAAAGAGATGCACTTTAACTAATTAATTATTTCATTTGTGTTAACAAAGTTATATATACTTTGGAAAAATAGACAAGCACATGTAATATTTTCATAGAATATGAGAGTTTATTGTCAAATGTCTAATAATAAAGTCCATATGCTTGATTTTGTATGATATACATACAATGAACAGGGCTAAGTTGAACCATTTCATAAGTCAAATAACAGTTTCCTTCAGGTTTGGAGGGTCAAAATCATATCATATTGACATATTCATTCATATTAATCAAAGATTCTAAAGATGTAATTTTGGAGAGACAAAAAAACACTTATCGAGGATCAACTTAAAGCCCTGAAGTAAGTGACTGAATGTTTTTTCATGACTTTCCATGCACACATTACATGTACATTGTACTTATTGTGTGTTTACAACTGAATAAAAACTTTAAAATGAAAATATAGCTGGGTTTTTTATTACTCACAGGTGACATACAATGTAACAAGCTTGAGTGGTGATATACAAATTGTATTATAATTCAATGTTAACTCTGATAAAAATGAACTGGTTATTTGATTTAAAAATTAATTCTTCTGGTGTGGAATTTTGTATTAAACTTGTAAGGCTTTGAAGCATATTAATTTGCATACATCTGATGAAACACTCTTCTGCTGTTGATTTGTGTTAAGGTTTTGAGGGTCTGGACCCTTTTTTCTTCTTTGGCATGCTGAAATTAGAAAAGATACATCAATCAAGACAGATGGACAAAATTCATGTCAAATTTGGGAATCAAACCACAGCTGTCCTGTTCAATATCTGCCAATCGGCTGGTACATTTTGATTTGAAAATGTCCACCCCTGTGTGGAAGTGGGATGTACCATGTAACGACTAGTTATCAATCAGCCTCATTATCACCCCTGTGTACATGTGTATCTGCATGGACACCTTTCAAAATTTATACCTANAAATGGATATTACAGTTGTCTGACATACTTCTGACTCAGAACAATTGTTCACATTCATCACTGTTATTATTTCATTTTTCCATGCATAGTTTTAGACAGAACTACAATTCATTTTGTATGTTGACACAAGATTATATAATTATCTTACATTAAAATCCATGGCGTAGGACATGTGTTATTTTAAATGCGATTTTTGAAAAAGCTCCAGCTAAAATTAACTCAATAAGCCTAGCCATATAACTTTTAATATCCCTTCACCAACACTTTTGCAATACAATTTTGGAAATCTTTCTCTATTAACATATCATTTCGAGTGGTTAGCCCTAGCCTAGTGAATCAGTACATAGGAATCTGTGAAAACAATTTAACACTGGCGTTGTTATTCAACAATTTGAAAAAACAATTCATTTAATCTATACAATTCATCATTGAGAATAATAAGGATTTGTCAACAAGCAGATAGGCCTTTGATAGAAATACAAATACTACAAAATTGATACAAAATACAAATACTACAAAATCAGAGATACTGGTTCACTTAAAACCACATGTTGTAATAGAAAACATATAAATAAACAATTGTGTATGTCAAAATATTTTATTTATTAGCAAGAAAACTAGATGTTGATGGCGGGTAAATGCAAGACGATGAGGTAAGTGAAATCACACGCTATTGCATCACGATGAATTTTGGTCTATATTCAGAGCCGTAAAAATACTCTGTCCAGATCGTCAGTGCGATTGAAATTGTTCTGTGTACATGATAATATACCAGATTGTAATTATGTAAACCAATTGTTACATATTTATGATCAATTACCGAGAATTACATGCATTCATGAACCCATCCGCGATCGGTACTCTAAGGCAAACTGGCGGCCATTATTAAAAACACCCCCACTGATTAACAACTGTTTTCAGAATACAAATACTACAAAATCAGAGATATGGGTTCACTTAAAACCACAGGCTGCCATAGAAAACATAAATAAACAATTTGGTTTAGTCCGTATGTCAAAATAATCTATCTATTAGCAAGAAAACAAGATGTTGATGGCGGGTGTGAAGCCATAAAATAATTCAAGTTGGCAACGCTGTATGTTCACTATAAACTTTCGCATTCTGCGACATTTCTCTGGTATTCGACACAACAAACATTATTAAATTTAAACAGAAGTATAGCAAAGATCACTTACTTTGAACTCCGGACAATGTAACGGTACAAAAGGTATCACTTCTGAACGGCAATCAATACCATTGACGATTGAAGCGGCGGGTTTTTTCCTTAAAGCACGTAAATTCTCGCGCTTTCTCGCAGTTTCTCGCAACATTAAAGTGCCCTGTAAATATTTCCTATGACGAAGAGGCAGTTGCCTTTCCCTCTAATCTAATTCCGTGGCGTGATAAAGTGGTTTTAAGATTATCATGAGAGAAATCAAATGAGAGAGAAATTAGGATTTTTAAATATTTTGGCGATAAGCGCGATGACAGATAGAACGATTGATGGGCATTATATCGAGGTTTTATTTTATTGTTTATATATTAGCAGTGAAGATTTTCATTGGAATGGTATGATAAGAAATACTGTAAACCTTTCTCTTTTATTATTACTTTATTTCGCGAACTCTGCTTGCATGTTTTAATCTTGATTCTGCGAATGAGATGATATATATTATTTCAAAACAAATGAAAGTAAATATCTATATTCACGGAAGATTTTAATTCGAGGAAGGGTCTTCTCGTACATAAACGCAAAAATCAGTTTCTCGCCAAAAAAAATATCCGATTTCAAGTGTATAAGCCAAATGTCCTATTTTCCATCAACACAGTATATATTACAAAGGTATGGTCCGCCGTGTACACTCTGCCCCATGTGTTACCAACGAAGTCAGGATCTAGCAGCTGTTACGAAATCGGATAGCCTACCCCAACCTATCATGGTACGTATCATGGGACAGTATGTAGGTAAGCGACTTGCATAGCGAGACCAGGAAGTTACGGTTTGCTTTT